CCAATCTCTTCTTGAAAACCTCCAGTGATGGAGCACCCACAACTTTTGAAGGCAAACCTTTCCACTGATTAATTGTTCCCACTGTCACGAAATTTCCCTTTAATTCCAGATTTCTCGTCTCCTTAGTTAATTTCCACCCGTTGCTCCTTGTCCTGCCCTCTTGGTGCTTTGGTGAATAGGTGGACCCCCCCATCTTGTTTGTTGCAGCCCCTCAAATATACATCCTTCGTTTTCTCCTGAAGGAGCTGGGACATAAATGGAGTTAACTCTGGCTCAACTGCAAGTAATCCTCGATTTACAATTAATTGTTTTGTGATTGAAATAACAGTGGCATTAAAAAAGGGGACTCAATGGTGGGTTGAGGACCACCTGTACTGTCGTTCACTCTTAAAATAGGGAACAAGGTAGCCAAAATTAGAACAATTAATAGTTAGAACAATTAACCAGTGGAACCACCTGCCTCCAGAAGCTGTGAATGCTCCAACACTGGAAGTTTTTAAGAAGAGACTGGACAACCATTTGTCCGAAATGGTATAGGGTTTCCTGCCTGAGCAGGGGGTTGGACTAGATGACCTCCAACTTTATTATTATTATTAGATGGCAAAATTAAAGTGTTTGCTAGTCATAAAAATGGCAGATCAAGAGAAAGGAAGGGGAGATCAGAGAAGAGGCTTCTAGCTACCTCCATCCTTGTAACCGTAAAAATTCCAGATCTAGCCCCCAAAAGATGCAACGCGTGGAAAAATTAACTCGTTAAGCAACCCAAATGTTCTACGGCTTGTCTTCTGAGCTTAAGGACAGACCTGGCACCAAAGTGGACCTTTTCCACTTTCAGGAATTGTATCAGCGTGAGATCAGGTGTGTTCCCAGGCGTTCCTGGGACTCGCAAGAGGCGTGGGAAGTAGCCGATGGAGTTCTGCAACATTTTTTTTCCCCGCCAGAACTATGGAGGAAGACGTTCCCCAATGAGGGAAGCTCTTGTCTCATTCCACCTCTTTGAATCTCCTTCCACCATTACTCAACTTCTTTGTTTGTTCCTACAGCAGCCCACCCATCCCGAAAAATACTGTGAGCAGGAAATCATTAAAAGTCCCAGCAACATTAATTGTTCTCACTGTCAGGAAGTTTCTCCTTAGTTCTAGGTTGCTTCTCTCCTTGATAAGTTTCCATCCGTTGCTTCTTGTCCTGCCTTCAGGCGCTTTGGAGAATAGCTTGACCCCCTCCTCTTCTTGGGGCAGCCCCTCAGATATTGGAAGACTGCTATCATGTCCCCCCTCGTCCTTCTCTTCATTAAACTAGACATACCCATTTCCAGCAACCGTTCCTTGTATGCTTTAGCCTCCAGTCCCCTAATCATCTTTGTTGCTCTTCTCTGCACTCTTTCTAGAGTCTCAGCATCTTTTTTACATCGTGGTGACCAAAACTGGATGCCGTATTCCAAGCGTGGCCTTACCAAGGCCTTGTAAAGTGGTATTAACACTTCACGTGATCTTGATTCTATCCCTCTGTTAATGCAGCCCAGCACTGTGTTGGCCTTTTTGGCAGCCGCAGCACACGGCTGGCTCCTATTTAGGTGATTGTCCACTAGGACTCTGAGGTCCCTCTCGCAGTTACTACTATTGAGCAAGGTACCCCCTATACTATATCTGTGCGTTTGGTTTTTCTTGCCTAAATGTAGAACCGTAACACCCTTCTTAAAAACATCCAGTATTGGAGCACCCACAACATCTGGAGGGTAATGAAAACATTGCTTTTCCCTCCAGAAAGCTTTGAGCATTTAGGAAGGTCACCTTCCTTAAAGAGCAATTTCTTCAGCACTGAAGATGCTTCTGCAATTTTCTTCCTCCTTCCATCTTACCATTCCATTTTAATCTGGGCAAGGGTTCCTGAAAACGTCCTGGAATTTGGTAACAGGATGCCATTGGCCCAGGGACGCACGTCAGCAGACTGGCACATGGGCAGCCACCAAGTTGCAGGCTGGGCATTGCTGGAAATTCCCACCCGTAGGAATATTATCCCCACCTCCCCCCCCCCAAAGTCTCACAAAGCTGAAGAAACCAAAGGATCTCAAACTAGAGAATGCAGAGGAATCGCCCCGTCCTTCAAGAGAAATGGAACTGCTAATCTCAGGGACTTCTCCATGTTGTTGAAAATGGTATTGTTTCTTACAGGCCTCCTCAGATGTCCCCCATCCAAGAGTTAACTAGGTCTGGCCCTGCTTAGTTTTTCAAGCTGAGCCAAAGGCAGCTAAGTGGCATCAATGATTCATCAAGAAGAATAGAGTGCTAGATTAACAGAGTTGGAAGGGACCTTGGAGGTCTTCTAGTCCAACCCTCTGCTCAAGCAGGAGATCCTATACCATTCTGGACAAATGGTTGTCCAATCTCTTCTTTAAAACCTCCAGTGTTGGATATGTATGGAGCATCTCAGTCCATCATACTAGCGCTGATGATGTTACCTAGTTTGGGTCATGAAACGTCTGCAAGAAAACAAGCAAGCTCAGAGAGCACCAAGGACCCCCTCATGTCAACCCTGAGTTACGAATATTCTCCTTTATTAATGGTATTTTCTTCAGGGACACAGTCTAGTCTACAGCCACGGGGATTCCTTAGAAATCTCCCATCTAAATCCTAACCAGGCCTAACCCTGCTTAGCTTCCAACCAGAAGAACCAACGAGGTTGGCCACCTTGCTCAGATACATCAGATGATGGTTTGCGACTAAGCCAGTTGCTTTGAAGGAATGGATTTCTGTTTCTCCAAGTCTGACATAACGAACCCTTAGAAATATGGTAGGGGAGCATCCGTATTGAGCTTTCTCTTCTGCCTCAATGTCTTGCAGGACATGGCTCCGTGGCCTGAACTGGAGGACACAGACGCCAATAAATATATTGAAGAACCTTCCCCAAAATCCAAGAAGATCATGTCTGAAAAAGAGACGAAAGACACCAAAGGTAACACTGAAGTCCATTCTTCTGATCTATCCTCTCCTTTCTCCTGTATCTCCAATACAACCAGTTTTTTTAATACGTCTGCATCTCACATGGGTGGACCGATGATAATGTTGGCTTGCTTGTTTGGTCCATCAGATGGGGCCATTTCCCCGGGGAATCAGCTGGAACTTTTGCCTGCGTATTCCACCATTGCTTTGACCACTGAATCCGAAGAAGAAGAAGATCCGTGGAGCCTGCCGGAGCTTCAGGATACTGGAATCCAGTGGTCAGGTAAGGCTCTATCATCAGAGAACGGATGGCATTTGCGTTTGCGTTCCTCCAGGTTCTGCCGTCTTCCCTCTAATTTCTTCTCGTTGGGTGTTCTACATCTGGGAAAAAATAGAAAAGGCCATTTGGGTGTGTTTCTGTTTTGTTCTTGACGGCGTTGTTTTTTTTTCATTCATAACCCCAACATTCTACCTTCTCTGTTTTGTTTCTTTGCTTGGAAAACAAATGGCTGACTGGAAGGACAAAATGGGGCACGACACACCACAACAAATGATAACAAACCAGTATTAAGTGATAACCTCTTCCTCCACATTTGATATTCTCTTAACTGAGACTCAGTTAGTGCACAGCACCAAAAATTCTGCAAATATTATCAGACATACATATTTACATATCGACATAGCTCTATCTGTCCATCTATTTATCTATCTATTGTCTATCTATCTATCTCTCTATCATCTGTCTCCGTCCATCATGCATCCATCCATCCATCCATCCATCCATCCATCCATCCATCCATCCATCCATCCATCCATCCATCCATCCATCCATCTATCTATCTATCTATCTATCTATCTATCTATCTATCTATCTATATCTATTTGCCTGAACCTTGATATGTTTTATTAATTAATGTTACTGTACTTAAGTATGTTCAAAGGTCATGCATCAAAAGAGATGTGTAGATGTCCAGAAGGAAAAAGCAACCATTTGAATTTTTGATTTAATTTACAGTATATAATAAACTCTCTATGGGGCCTAACATTGGTTATGGACCTGATTTTGGGTATATTATCTCTCTCTCTCTCTGCGTAGATAGATAGATAGATAGATAGATAGATAGATAGATAGATAGATAGATAGATAGATAGATAGATAGATAGATAGATAGATAGATAGATAGATAGATAGATAGAGACAGACAGACAGACAGACAGACAGACAGATAGATAGATACAGATAGATAAATAGATAGATAAATAGATAGATAGATAGATAGATAGATAGATAGATAGATAGATAGAGAGAGAGAGAGAGACAGACAGACAGACAGACAGACAGACAGACAGACAGACAGACAGACAGAAGACAGAGACAGATAGATAGATAAATAGATAAATAGATAGATACTAAGATAGATACTAAGATAAATAGATAGAAACTGATAAATAGACAGAAAGACAGACAGACAGATAGATGGATAGATAAACAGATACTAAGAAATACTTAGAGAGAAACTAAAATAGAGAGATACTATAGTAAGACATAGATTGATAGATGATAGATAGATAGATAGATAGATAGATAGATAGATAGACAGAAAGAGAGAAAGAAAGAGAGAGAGAGATACTAAGAGATTGATAGAAAGATCAAAAGATAGAAAGATACTATATAGATAAAGAGAAAGAGAGAAGGGTTGGGTTATGATGTTTATTTTCCTTTATGCCATGATTTCCCAACTTCTAGCGGGAGTAGCTTTAAAATTTTCAAAACGATTGAGAATTCTAAAATACGGATTGATGTCATCTTTCCTAAAAGTGCTGGCGGATGTTTCAGCTAAGTCTTTCTTGATGAAGACCCCTGGTCTATGGTGGCTTCCCTGAGATTTTGCCAGGGAGACCCCCTGGGTTCAAGGTCTTGGGGGGTGGGATCTTCAAAGCCTCCAGACCTTCTGCCCTCCCTCCAGATCTCTTATGGCCCCCTCCTGATAGCCTTTGGATGTATTTGGTTGGAACCAGGAAGAGAGATTCTAAAGTTCTGTTATCCAATGGCAGGCCATTCCCGTGACAATAAACCCTTCCCTTTTTAAATTTTTTAATTTTTTGCTATATGAAACAGGACGAGAGCTATCGATAAAATAATCTAAACACAACTTGGTATTTCCTCTTTCAAAGTAAAGGGCCCTTTTAAAATACAGCTGTCTTTTAAAGCTTTGTAAAAAAAGAAGAAAAAAACACCTCCTTTTAACTAAAGTTAAATTTTAATAACGAGAACATTCCTTTTGGTTTATTATCCACAGGGCTCAGGATACCAGCCTTGACTCTCTGAACTGATATTTAAGATTCTTGAGGTTGAAGACTTAATATTTGCTGCTAATCGCACATGAACTCTGTCGCTTTGTCTTTCCAGAGCTGGATGGGAAACACAAAGCCCTCTATATTTTGCGAGGCATCGTGAAATTTATTCTCCTGCTGGGCTTGCTTTACTTTTTCGTGTGCTCCTTGGACGTGCTCAGCTCGGCCTTCCAATTAGTCGGAGGTAAGACAAGAATTTCACGTCTGTGTCGCTAACACAACTCTCCCAGTGTGCTTGATTGAAGGGTACAGAAAGCCTGTGGTCTCTACAGCTGCAGAATAAAGCTTTTGAAGCACTGCGTCTCCAAAAGCATCGCCCTTCAAGACAGAGCAATATGCAAAATAAAGCTTTATCTAGGGCGAGCATCTAGGACAGGGCTTTTCAACCTTTTCACCCATTGTACCACTTTTAGGATATGGCAACATCCGAGGACCACCAGTCGCCCAGCAAGGTGTCAAAAACTTGATAACCAAAAAAAAAAAAAAGGAAAAAAAGTGATAAAGTACAGGTAGTCCTCGACTTACAACAGTTCGCTTAGTGACTGTTCAAAGTTAAAATGGCACTGAAAAAAGTGCCCCCCAAGCCACAGCCGAGCAAGAGACCTGCCTGCCCACCCAGCCGCGCTCTTCCTCCTGTCCGAGGTTTTCATTGTTGTGAGCATTTCTGTTGAGGATTGGCAGCGGAGGTGGGGTGGGGGGGTGTTTGATTTTTATTCCCCCCATCTGCTGGGTGGTTGCAGCAGGTTTTGGTCACTTCACATGACCCTGGGACACTGGGACCATCATAAATATGAACCAGTTGCCAAGCATCTGGATGTAAATCACAAGACCCTGGAGAGGCTGCAACATTCCAGCTGATCGGCGCTTCTTCTGGGCTCAGCAGAAGCACCAGGATCAGCGCTGAGCTCCAGCTGATTGGTGCTTCTTCTGGGCTCAGCAGAAGCACCAGGATCAGCGCCGAGCTCCAGCTGGAGCCTGGCGCTGATCCTGGCGCTTCCACTGAGCCCTGACAGCCCCGAAGAAGCGCTGATCCTGGCGCTTCCGCTGAGCCCTGACAGCCCTGCAGCTCCAGCCATCTCTCGCTCAGGCTTGTGCGGTGCTGCCACCGGTTCAACTCATTCCCTTCTCCTGCTACCACTTTTCTAGGATGGTCGCGTACCACCTGCCAGGTGCCAATGTACCACAGGTGGTACCCGTACCACTGGTTGAAAAGCCCTGATCTAGAACAGTTCAAAAAGAATCAAAAAACAAATCTGGTCAAAAAAAACAATCCCTATTACATAACCGGGATTAGTGGTACTACGGATAGCTATCTTAGATAGCTGGATTCTCTGTGGATAGACGTGCTGGAGTTGCAAAAGTGGCTGTTTTCTTCCGTTCGTAGTGGAAGTGGTTTTCAATTTATGACCAACCTTTTAGTGACACCCCTCCCCACCCCCGTGGCCATGTGATTGTATTTTGGTCACTCAACAATCCCACAATCGTGACTTCCATTTACAACCTTTTCCCCCCAAAAAACCAGTATTTACTTCCAATTTCTGGCAAAAACTAAAAGATATGAAGAGCGGTTGCAGGAAATGGGTGTGTCTAGTTTAATGAAAAGAAGGACCAGGGGTGACAGGATAGTTGTGTTCCAATATCTGAGGGGCTGCCCCAAAGAAGAGGGAGTCAAGCTATTCTCCAAAGCGCCTGAAGGCAGGAGAAGAAGCAATGGATGGAAACTAACCAAAGAGAGAAGCAACCTGGAACCAAGGAGAAATTTCCAGACAGTGAGGACAATTAACCAGTGGAACCACCTGCCTCCAGAAGTGGGTGCTCCAACACTGGAAGTTTTTAAGAAGAGATTGAACAACCAGTTGTCTGAAATGGTATAGGGTTTCCTGCCTGAGCAGAGGGTTGGACTAGATGACCTCCAAGGTCCCTTCCAATTTTGTTACTCTGTTCGGTTATTCTGTTACGTGTTCACCTAATGACTGTGGATTTGTTTAAGAACCGCGGCAATTTCTTTAATGACTGCCACAAAATTAGGGAGGTGACATGACGATCCGCTTAGCCAGCCATAATTCCAGGGTCAATTATGGTTGTTAAGCTGAGGATCAATAGTAGTTTTAACCGGTCAGATGTGTCTGACTCTTGAAGACTTTATAGGCAAGTCCTCTCCGTGCTACCCTTTCAATCACAGTTTCTTCCTTCAGTTGCTGGATGTTCATCGTTGAATCGGCTTTGAATTCTATCAAGCCAGCATGTTCTTTGCTTGTTCCACCGAGCATTCCTGGCATCATGGACTTCTCCAATGAATTTGCACACAAGACATGGGCAAAGTACATCAGATGTAGCCCTGTGTTGTTGGCTTCTAGTGAAGCTTCTGGTTTTATATGATTCAGTGTCTCTCTGTTGATTGCTCTGACTGCCCAGGGTATATGCAATAATTTACAGTCCAAAGGTGTCAATTCTTGTTTGAACAGCCTTTCTTAGTGTCCAATTCACACACCCAGACCTCATTATAGGCAAGACTATTGCTCTCACTAGCTGAGGATTACCTGTAGTGATTAATCTTTCCCCCAAGGCAGTGTGTCAACAAACTTTAAGATGGGTGGACTTCAGTTCTCAGAAATCCCCAACCAGCCTTGGACTCCATCCATCTTGACATTGCCGAGGTTGGTAAACACTGTTCTAAGAAGCTTCAGTCACACCCCATTTAGTGTGGCAACGATTTTGTGGGTTAGACTGGGCACAGAGAAAAGGCAGGGGCCGAAGTCATCCAGGGAAGCTCCATAGCTGAAGGGGGTCTTGAACCCGGGACTCCGCAGTCCTGAACAAACTCTATGCTGATTGCTTGGCCTTGATCTTGGGTTCATATGGAAAACCTGCTTTGATTAGAGGAGATTTCTAACTGGCTTGTGTCCAAGGAACGCATTTATCTAAAACAGATCAGTTCCCCAGCAGAACATCTTTATAAATTCATCCAACCACTGATGAAATTTTAACGGGTAGATCCTCATGACTGTCTACGGAGGTTCTCCACCATCCAGGTCATGGCTGTCCCAAAGGTGCTTTTTCAAGAAGCCACTGGACTCCCTTGTTTTTCTCTGAAGATGTTTCGCTTCTCATCCCAGAAGCTTCTTCAGGTCTGAAATGTTCTTCAAAGAAAAACAAGAAACTCCAGTGGCCTCTTGAAAAAGCATCATTGGGATCCTCGTGACTGTTATTTAGGCTGGAAGACTTGAAAAGATGCATCTAAGTCCTTAAATGTCTACGGAGTCATCCAGGGTTGTTGCAAAGGGGTCTTTTATTTGAAAGGCAACTGGACTTTCTGATTTTTCTTTTAAGACATCTCCAAGAAGCTTCTTCCCTTCCATTCCATTCCCCACCAGTTACTTAGAACTGAAGAAGCTTCTCGGACGAGAAGTGAAACCTCTTAAAGAAAACTCAGAAAGCCCAGGTGCCTTTCAAATAAAAGCATCTTTAGGGGGAAGAGACCACAAAGAAAGCAAAACACACATTGTAGGGCAGGGGTCTTCAAACTTGGCCCTTTGACGACTTGTGGACTTCAACTCCCAAAATTCCTCAGCCAGGCACGCTGGGTGAGGAATTCTGGGAGATGAAGTCCACAAGTCATCAAAGGGTCATAGTTCCCTCACGTTGGCTGAGGCATTTTGGGAGCTGAAGTCCACAAGTCATAAAAGGGCCAAGTTTGAAGACCCCTGTTGTAGGGGATGTTTTGCGCCGTGGCATCCTCGCTCGCTCTTGTTACTAAACCTCACCCAGAGGGACAAGACCAAGGAAACCAGAACAACGCCCATTTCAATAAGGCATGTTTAATGTTTGACTAGATCAAACACGGAAACCTAAAAGAGGAATTTCCCAGATTTATTTATAACAAGTCAATTAAGGTGTAGTCGCTTTGAATACTCTGAGATTTTTTTCCCCCAGGTTTTTTGCGGACCGAGATGCCATTTCGGAGATTAGCTGTCAATTGACTCATTACTAGAATGAGTCAATTGACTCAACCTAGAACTAAGGAGAAACTTCCTGACAGTTAGAACAATTAACCAGTGGAACAACCTGCCTCCAGAACAACCTGCCTCTTCTTAAAGACACTGGAGGTCTTTAAGAAGAGACTGGACAGCCATTTGTCCGAAATGGTATAGGGTTTCCTGCCTGAGCAGGGGGTTGGACTAGAAGACCTCCAAGGTCCCTTCCAACTTTATTATTATTATTATTATTATTATTATTATTATTATTATTATTATTATTATTATTATTATTATTATTATTATTATTATTATTATTACTACTATTTCTTCCATCCGACATTTCATACCGAGACCCTTGAAAGACTCTGTAGGCAGAGTATTAATACCTCAAAGGAGTTCTCGGAGTGAGGCTGGCTAAACTCAGTTACCTGAGCTTGCTTAGTTGAACACAGAAAGCCTCTTTGAGGCACCCTGGGCATAAGAGCTGTCAATCACAGGGGGATATTGTGGGTGTGGTGCGGAGGAGACCTTGTTTGTTTCCGTCAACCTGCATTGTTGTAACCACTTGCAGGTACTCTGACAATCTGGGACTTAATCTCTTACCCAAACTAATCTCTTAATCTTGTGTCTAAAGTGTTTGGTAACACACATTGTGATGAAGAATTTCTTATGCGTGAGATCCAATAGATAAAACACCGTTCACAGACAGCTAAAATAGGTCGATCGGTGTATACACCCATATGCAGAAAGCTGTGGGAACCACTGTAATCTTCATCAGTTATGAAAACAAGCTCCCTTCCCTGCAAGACTCGCATGCTATGGAGACATGTATTGTAGTTACATACAATTTAATGGACACTTTTTGCCTCTTTGAAAGACTGGCGAAATAATGTTGTTGGAATGTTTTTCTATGCAACAACTACAGTAGTATTCAGCCAGTAGATGGCAGTGTTTACAAGTTTGGCTCTATGGTATATACTCGATGCTCTTTTGTTCTAAGCAGAGTTTGCTGTTTCCTGTTACGGTTAAATAGTTGAGCAGTAAAGCACATGGTGACAGTACTCTTTGTTTGCTCTGTGTGTGCTTTATATGCAACAACTACAGTAGTATCCAGCCAGTAGATGGCAGTGTTTACAAGTTTGGATCTATGGTATATACTCAATGCTCTTTTGTTCTAAGCAGAGTTTCCTGTTTCCTGTTATGGTTAAATAGTTGAGTAGTAAAGCACATGGTGATTGTGCTGTTTGTTTGCTCTATATGGTGCTTTATATCAGGGGTCCCCAGCCCCCAGTCCATCAACTGGTACTGGGCTGCAGCATACCAGCAACCGGTCCACACAAACCAGCAAAGCCCCATCCGTCGGATGCAGGCAATACACAAAACCACACTCCCTCTGGTCCGCGGAAAAATATCTCTCCACGGAACTGGTTCATACCTCGTGAGGTGCATCAGATCATCTCCAGAGATAGTTCTTATTGTTATGGAGGTTCTAGTGTTATGAAAGTTATTTAAAGCTGTAATACAGATAGTCCTCCATTTATGACCATAACGGAGCCCAAAAATTTGTTGCTAAGCGAAACATTTCTTGAGTGAATTTTGCCCCGTTTTATGACCTTTCTTGCCGCAGTTGTTAAATTAATCACTCCAGTTGTTAAGTTAGTAACAGGCTTGTTAAGTGACTCTGGTTTCCCCACCGACTTTGCGTATAAGAAGGTCACAAAAGGGGATCACATGACCCTGGGGCACTGCAACCGTCATAAATATGAACCGGTCACTAAGCATCCAAGTTTTGATCACGTGGCCGCGGGGATGCTGCAATGGTGGTGTCTAAAATGGTCATAAGTCATTTTTTTCCCCCCAGAGTGTTGCAACTTTGAACGGTGACCAAATGAACTGTTGTGAGTTGAAAACTACCTGAAATTTGTTATTTTTACAGGCAAAGCCGCAGGGGACATTTTCAAGGATGGTTCCGTCTTATCCAATCCCGTGGCAGGGCTTGTCATTGGCGTCCTGGTGACCGTGATGGTGCAGAGTTCCAGCACATCTTCTTCCATCATCGTCAGCATGGTGTCTTCTTCACGTGAGTCAACCATGTAACAAGTTTTGGATGTTATAACTCATTTTGAGAGTTTGGATAGCGGCAAAACAGGGAAATTAAAGGCAGCAGTCAACTCAGAAATAGCCTGTCGTGCAAGTAATGGGTATTTTAAACAGGAGGGGCAATTCTGCTGGTATCATTTTTCCCTACCAGTGTCTCTGGAGATTCTCCGTCATCCAGGTCAAGGTTGTCCCAAAAGTGCTTTTTTTCAGGAGGCAACTGGACTTTCTTGTTTTTAATTTGAAGATGTTTCACTTCTCATCCCAGAAGCTTCTTCAGCTCTAACCAAATGGTGGGGGAAATGGAAGGATTTATACTCCTTGCAGAGAGCTGGTCATTTGCCTTCTTTTAGAGAGTCGTTGAGGCCACTTGGGGGTTTGTCTGTGTCCTCAGAGTCACCTGAGTAGTGCAAATGGGTGTGGGGGATTCTTGGAACTGCTGAAAGGGCTGTGTTCCACACCCATTTGCACCACTCAGGTGACTCTGAGGACACAGACAAACCTCCAAGTGGCCTCAACGACTCTCTAAAAGAAGGCAAATGACCAGCTGTCTGCAAGGAGTATAAATCCTTCCATTCCCCACCATCCAGTCAGAGCCGAAGAAGCTTCTGGGACGAGAGGCGAAACGTCTTCAAAGAAAAACAAGAAAGTCCAGTTGCCTCCCGAAAAAAAGCACCTTTGGGTTTCCCTACCAGTGTTACCCAGATGAACAAAAGCACACATGATAGCATTTTATGACATCCTTCTTTAAATGAGAAGATACTATAAAGATTATTCTTTTGCAGTCCTCAACAGAAATGGACTCAATCTTCAGCGAGAGGCGGGCTCAATTTGTAATTGCACAATTCTTGTTTCAGTCGTTTCCTCAAGGGAAAAAAAAATATTAACAAGAGGAAAAAAGGGAAGTGTGCTGGTCTAAAACAGAGCATCCACTTAATAATCACTTGATAATTAAATTAAATTAAATTAAATTAAATTAAATTAAATTAAATTAAATTAAATTAAATTAAATTAAATTAAATTAAATTAAATTAAATTAAATTAAATTAAATTAAATTATTGTATTGTATTGTATTGTATTGTATTGTATTGTATTGTATTGTATTGTATTGAAAATGTTTTCCTGGTGGTTCATCTTGCATGTTTCTTTCTACATGTAAATCAAACACTAGATAAACATCTTTTCTCCAAACTTACTTGGGGTTGATCTGGGGGAAACATGATAACAGTCTTCCAATATTTTCAAGGGGCAATATTCAGTTGCCCCTTGAAAAAGCACCAGGACATGGAAACTAATCAAGGAGAGAAGCAATCTAGAATTAAGGAGAAACTTCCTGACAGTGAGAACAAATAATCAGTGGAACGGCTTGCCTTCAGAAGTTGTGGGTGCTCCATCACTGGAGGTTTTTTTAGGAAGAGATTGGACAACTATTTGTCCAGAATGTTATAGTGTCTCCTGCTTGAACAGAGGGTTGGACTAGAGGACCTCCAAGGTCCCTTCTAACTATTTTATTCTGTATTTTGTTTTCTGGTGAGATTGGGCTCGTGGTTTGCTTCCAGTTGTATTTATCCAAGGAATTGTTTAATGATGAAGGTGGCTTTGGAGAAGGATAGCACTCTAGGAACCCCCGCTGAAAGGAGGCATGTGTGAAAACAATGATCCTTGCTAAATGTGTAACGGCCAGACACAATTTATGAGAAATTGTATTGAGAAATACCTTGACTCCTTATTCCTCAGGTGTGAACCCATTTGTCTCGTTCATCCCACTGTCACCTGTACTTATTGTTATTGCCTATTTATTTTTGCAGTATTGAATGTTAAGCATGCTATCCCGATCATAATGGGAGCCAACATTGGGACTTCGGTGACAAACACCATTGTGGCACTCATGCAGGCTGGCGACAGGAATGAATTTAGAAGGTATCAGATTCTTATCTTAAGGCACGCTGGTAGCAATCAGGATAATAATGTCACTGCCGTGGAAGAATGCCCAAGAAGCCTATAAAACTAGCAAAATCTAAATGTTAATGCAATTCGTCATCATCTCAACTTCCAACAGCTTGTTTAGTGACCAACAACACTGAAAAACGTGAGTTAGAACCGTTTTCCACAGTGATGACCATTGCAGCATCTGCAGGTCGCCTGATCAAAATCCAGAGGCTTGGCAACTGACTCGTATTTATGACGGTTGCACTGTCCGGGAGTCATTTTGTGATAGGCAAAATCAATGGGAAAGCTAAATTCACTTAACAACCAGGTTACTAACTTAACAACTGCAGTGATTCACTTAAGAACTGTGGCGAGGAAGGTCGTAAAATGAGGCAAAACTCATTTAACCACTATCTGTGCATCAATGCAATAAAACTCCTTCATAAAAAGCCTATTATATCATCATCGCCACCGTGTTGCTGTTGTTGTTAGCTGCGAAGTCGTATCTGACCCATCGCGACCTCATGGGCAACGTTCCTCCAGGCCTTCCTGTCCTCTACCATCTTCTGGAGTCCATTGAAGCTCACGCCTACTACTTCAGTGACTCCATCCAGCCCCCTCATTCTCTGTCGTCCCCTTCTTCTCTTGCCCTCAATCTTTCCCAGCATTAGGCTCTTCTCCAGTGAGTCCTTCCTTCTCATTAGGTGGCCAAATTATTTGAGTTTCAACTTCAGGATCTGGCCTTCTAAAGAGCAGTCAGGGTTGATCTCCTCTAGGACTGACCGGTTTGATCGCCTTGCAGTCCAGGGGACTCGCAGGAGTCTTCTCCAGCACCATAGTTCAAAGGCCTCCATTCTTTGGCGCTGAGCCTTTTTTATGGTCCAACTTTCACAGCCGTACATTGCAACTGGGAACCACCGTAGCTATACTATAATGCAGGAGAAAGGGAAAAACAGCCCCTGGTCTTCCTTTTAGACTGGCAAAAAGCCAGCAGAAAAATATCTGTCTTATACTTCAACGGTAAATATTTCCTTGAGTTTTTCCTGTTCTCTGCTTTCCCCAGCCTGGTTATCTCTGTACTTTACTTATAAGTTACCACAAGCCCTGACAGTTATGCAACTGAAAGGAAAGGATATTGGAAAGGATGAAGGTTTTGATTTGCTTTGCATCTATCCAAGCAACGTATAATTTTTTCTTAGTTTATTCATCAGTGTTAGAACCTTGCATAAACTCGTAAGCCCGCTGATCCAAGCGATTTGTTTCCTTATGGCAATCTATGTCTTCCTCCCCCGCCCCTTTGGTAGACATCAGTGAAATAGGCCTTGAGTTGCAATTTTTGGCACGTAACCTCTTCCAATATTTTCAAAATTCATTCCCGTATGCCAAGGACTGCGTCTTCTCTTATACTCCTCGAGACGAGTCTGGTTGACCTTCTTCAGAGCTTTAAGCAAAGGGTCAACGGGAGGAACGATCTAAAAATCATTTCCTCAAAAGCCCTTCTGTAAACTAGGATCCGAACTGCCCTAAGTGTGTTTGGAGCAGGTGGCCTGTGGATTTAACAAATTATTTAGCAATCTTTCCTGGAATCGTACCATAGCTGAGTAGAGCTGGATTTATTTTATATAGCTCTTCAGCTCGATAGTAGTTCTGCTAAGACTGGCACCTTCATAAACTCAGAGTCCACCTGAATTTGGGAAGCTTTTTATGAAATAATCACCATTCGTTCAATTTGAGCAGAGGGGCATGGTGGCCTAGAGGCGAAGACGCTCGCCTCCCACTCGCAAGGTTGAGAGTTCAATCCTAGGCAGCTATCGGGGCACAAATAGGAAATATCTGCTGCTAACTCCACGTAGGCATCAGGAAGGGCATCCAGCCAGTAAATGCTCAGGTCCATTCAACCGTTCCCAACTCCACCCAGAATAAAAGGATTAAAGGATCGTAAAAAAAGGGGAGGGAGTCAATTTGACGAGACCAACAAACCTTATCAATTATCATTGTGTTATCCCATTGCACGTTCCACTCTTATTCCAGAAAATCCGTGAAGCAAGGAATATAGAAAGGCAGAACCTGGAACCTCTGTTCTCCATCGTAGATTTGCAGAAAAAAGAATATATTATTTTGTTGACCCTCTTTTGATGTCTTTGGTTGTCCTTTTGCTGGATTTCTCCTGATCGCTCTTGATTTGTTTGTTTGTTTTCCTCCAGGGCCTTCGCTGGCGCCACTGTCCACGATTTCTTTAACTGGCTTTCCGTGTTTGTCCTGTTGCCCCTTGAAATTGTCTCTCAGTATCTCTACCGCCTGACCAGTCTTATTGTGGACTCGTTTCAGCTGGAGAGTGGGGAAAACGCCCCGGAATTACTAAAAGTCATCACAGATCCCTTCACAAAACTCATCATCCAGGTAAATGTCTTCCCTTATTGATTTAATGTTTACTAGGAACAGGTTAATCAGACCTGTATTGGCCCTTCACGAATGCCATGCTAGGAATGAAAAAATATATATCACTCCGTAACATCTGTGGAGATTCTTCATTATCCAGGGTCAAGGTTGTCCCAAAGGTGCTTTTTTCAAGATGCAACTGGACTTCCTTGTTTTTCTTTGAAGACGTTTTGCTTCTCATCCCAGAAGCTTCTTCAGCTCTGACTGGATGGTGGGGAAAGGAAGGATTTATACTCCTTGTAGACAGCTGGTCGTTTGCCTTCTTTTAGAGAGTCGTTGAGGCCACTTGCAGGTTTATCTGTGTCCTCAATGGTGCTTTTTCAAGGGGCAACTGGACTTTCTTGTCTTTTCTTTGAAGATGTTTTGCTTCTCATTCCAGAAGCTTCTTCATAAATGGAAGGATTTATACTCCTTGAAGACAGCTGGTCATTTGCCTTCTTTTAGAGAGTTGTTGAGGCCACCTGGAGGTTTATCTGGGCCCTCGGGGTCCCCTGGGTGGTGCAAATGAGCATGGAGCCTTCTTGGTACTGCTGAAAGGGTTATAAGAAGGCTCCACACCCATTTGCAGCACTCAAGTCACCTTGAGGACACAGACAAACCTCCAAGTGGCCTCAAGGACTCTCTAAAAGAATGCAAATGACCAGCTGTCTGCAAGGAGTATAAATCCTTCCATTTCCCCACCAATTAAGTCAGAGCTGAAGAAGCTTCTGGGATGAGAAGCGAAACGTCTTCAAATAAAAGACAAGAAAGTTCAGTTGCCCCTTGAAAAAGCACCATTGAGGACACAGATAAACCTGCAAGTGGTCTCAACGACCCTCTAAAAGGATACAAATGACCAGCTGTCTGCAAGGAGTATAAATCCTTCCATTTCCCCACCAATTCAGTCAGAGCTGAAGAAGCTTCTTGGATGAGAAGCGAAACGTCTTCAAAGAAAAACAAGAAAGTCCAGTTGCCCCCTGAAAAAGCATCTTTGGGACAAGCACTCCATAAATTTTATGAGTTTTATTACTGAGAAACAGGCCGCAAAGAATATGCAAACAACTGTCTTTCCAAGTTCAGGATCCCAGCTACATCTTTACCCATCTAGGTCTTTTTAGATTACTAACACCTCATGTTAGACTCCTTGAATCTTCATAGCCTCAGCGGACATCTTGTTCGACCTTTCAGAAAATTAAAACCTTCTACTCTAGACAACTAGTATCATTGCCTCGCCGTTATTTCACACTTACAATATTCTTTTTTTGAAAAAGTCTTCCCGGTGCGATTCTTTTTTTCCTATTTTTCCTTCTTTTTGTTTCCTCCTTTGAAAGATTGGAAGGATTATACGCAATTCTAATACTGCTCCTGTTGATTTAATCGAATGCTATTATCCTTATTCTGCGCTGGCAATCCTCTTTTTTTTTTTTTTTTTTGGACCAGGATACATTTCATTCTGTTCTGGGCACCCAGAGAGCCCCAAATTAATACTTGGGGGGGAAAAGCAACAACAGAAGAGCAGCTTCTTCTATGGAAATAATAATAATAATAATAAAGTTGGAAGGGACCTTGGAGGTCATCTAGTCCAACCCCCTGCTCAGGCAGGAACGTGTCACAATGCATGTTCTGTAACACTGGATTCAAGTCGATCCTAATCTTCAAAGCTTGTCCTGAAGATCAGAATAAGCAAACAAAACAAAACAAAACAAAACAAATGTTTCTTGGCCACAATTATAGATGCCTAAAAGGGTAGTTAGCGAGATCCATTTTCTAACCAGTGCTATTTCATTTTGCTGTTCTGTTAGCTTTTCAAATATGATGAGTCACATTGAGCTGGCCTTTCGGAAGACGCAAGGCGAGAAAAAGTCCATCTGATTAAGGGTGCACCCTTCCACTGACACAATAAATTTGATATCCATTTCGCTTCCTTTGATTAATAGCTCGATAAGTCGGTGATAAGTGCAATCGCCACAGGAGACGAATCAGCGAAAAATAAAAGCCTGGTGAAAGTGTGGTGCAAAACTAAAACCAACGTGGTGAGTGTTGAGCTAAGGAATCGTTTTGTGCAGATAAGATGCTGGCTTATTGTTTAATTAGTCGCTTTTATGTTTCCCTCTGATAACCAATTGCTAAATGAAGCGGGATGATAATGTACGATAATGTGCTACGTATTCAGTCTTCTAGAAACCCCAAACGGGGATTGTTTTTACTGTTCTGGAAAGCGTATATATTAATAATGTAATATATCATACCGAACTTGGGTCTCCTAGAATCTGAATATGTACATAAACGTACCCAATTTGATTCACGCGGGATATTATAAAAATTCAAACAGTGGAAAAGCTAATTCAGGTAATCCTTGACGTGCAACCGCTTGTTTAGGGACGGTTCAAAGTTATAACAGCCCTGGGAAAAAAAGTGATTTACGACCGTTTGTCACACTGACGCAGCATTTCTACGATCCTGTGATCAAAATGTGGTTGCTTGGCAACTGGCCCGCATTTATGACGGTTGCATTTTGTCCAGGGATCACGTGATCACTTTTTGTAAATTTCCCAGCTGGCTTTTGACAAGCAAAGTCAAAGGGGGAAGCCAGGTTCATTTAACAACTGCAGTGCTTCACTTAACAACCGTGGCAAAAAAACCAAAAAAAGTTGTAAAATGAGGCCCATCCTGCCTCGCTTAACCAGGAAAATTTGGGGTTCAGCTGCAGTCGTAAGTCAAGGACTCCTTGTATGGTAACTATCTTCACCTATAGCAGGGGTAGGCAACCTTGGCTCTTTTATGACTGGTGGACTTCAACTCCCAGAATTCCTGAGCCAGCCATGCTGAGGGGAAAGGGAGAGGGTTCCAAGCTGAGCCATGCTGGCTCAGGAATTCTGGGAGTTGAAGTCCACAAGTCATAAAAGAGCCAAGGTTGCCTACCCCTGCTCTAAACTAATAAAGTCTACATTAATTAACATTAATTATGCTTTCATATGTTCCTCTAACTGAGGGGTCTTCAAACTTGGCTCTTTTATGACTGGTGGACTTCAACTCCCAGAATTCCTGAGCCAGCCATGCTGAGGGGAAAGGGAGAGGTTTCCAAGCTGAGCCATGCTGGCTCAGGAATTCTGGGAGTTGAAATCCATGAGTCATGAAGGGGCCAAAGTTTCCCTAATGCTGGCTCAGGAATTCTGGGAGTTGAAGTCCACAAGTCATAAAAGAGCCAAGGTTGCCTACCCCTGGCCTATAGTGTTTAACTATATGAGGATCTGGGAGAGAAACTCATGGTGTAATCATCATTCAGACTGATTCGTATTCATGAATTGGGTGTTTATTAGTACTAAGTGAGAGTTAGTTTGGGAGAGTGGTTAAAGACAGTGGATTAGAAATCGGGAGAACGTGAGTTCTAGTTCTCCTTCTTAGGCATGGAACCATCTGAGAGACCATGAGCCAGCCCAGCATTTCAAACCAATACAGGGGAATCTTTGTGGCTCAGGGTGGACATGAGGGGCCCTTGGTGGTTTCCTTTCAGACGTTTCATGACCCAACTAGGTAACATCATCAGTGCTAGAAGAGAGTAGGGTATGTGGAGAGGAGGAGGAGGAGGAAGAAAGGACTGTGGAGTCCTTGGTGCTCTCTGAGCTTGGTGTTTTCCTTGCAGATGTTTCATGACCCAAACTAGGTAACATCATCAATGCTAGAAAGGAGGGGGATTTGCAGAAAGAAGGAGGAGGAGGAGGAGGAGGAAGAAGAAGAGGGGAGGAAGATGACAATTGTGGGATCCTTGGTAGCCTCTGAGTTTGCTTGTTATCTTGCAGACGTTTCATTACTCAAACTAGGGAACATCATCAGTGCTAGAAGGGAATGGGATTTGCAGAGAGGAGGAGGAGAAGGAGGACAACTGTGGGGTCCTTGGTGCTCTCTGAGCTGGGTGGTTTTCTTGCAGACGTTTCATGACCCAAACTAGGTAACATCATCCCTGCTAGAAGGGAATGCGCTACTCCATATTAGCACTGATGATGTTACCTAGTTTGGGTCATGAAACGTCTGCAGGAAAGCCACCAAGCATGGAGAGCGCCAAGGACTTCACAATTTCAAACCACTTCTGGAAATCTTGCCAAGAAAGCTGCAGGGATTTATCTACAGGCTTCCCAGGAGTGGGTGCCCCATCACTGGAGGTTTTTAGGAAAAGGTTGAACTGTATTTTTGTTTGGGATGGTACAAGGTTTCCTGCCTTGGGCTGGGCGTTTGCATTAGAAGACCTTCGCAACCTTGTGATTCTCTTATTCTGTGAATTAATATTTCACCGTGATGGGTGAGGTTGGCAGGCAGAAAGAGGGCCAGCATGAAAGGATCCATAGTTCCATAATTTTCACACCTAAGATGAATTAGCGACTGTGGCTGTCATGTTTTTGAATAACAATAATAATATAATAATTATAATAATTATAATAATAAAATAATAATAGCGCCTAAATTAGCATAATGTGAATGGACTGGTTTTCATTGAGCTATCTTATGTCAATGCCTAGGTGGAACTGAATAGCACCATCCCAGCCTCCGAAAACTGCACATCTCCAGATCTTTGCTGGATCAATGGAAACATGACTTGGACGGTCAAGAATGTGTCGCAAACAGAAAATCTGGCAAAATGTAAGGAAAGGGGGTTGCCTTACTGTTCTCTGAAGGTATAAGATCCGTTTTCAAAGCAGGAGAGGACCAGATATTATGAAAGGAAAATGTCAGGTTTGGTGCTGGATGTGCTGCTGCTGGAATAGAGAAGATGTTGGTGGCCATCGTGTTAGAAGGACAACTGAATCACTATTGGCTTTGGATGGGGGCAAAAGGAATAGAGTAGAGTAGAGTAGAGTAGAGTAGAGTAGAGTAGAGTAGAGTAGAATAGAATAGAATAGAATAGAATAGAATAGAATAGAATAGAATAGAGCAGAGAAGAGAAGAGAAGAGAAGAGAAGAGTAGAATAGAGTAGAATAGAGTAGAATAGAGTAGAGTGAATAGAATAGAATAGAGTAGAGTAGAGTAGAGTAGAGTAGAGTAGAGTAGAGTAGAGAGTAGAGAGTAGAGAGTAGAGAGTAGAGTAGTGTAGAAGAAATGAAGAATAGAGTAGAGTAGAATAGAATAGAATAGAATAGAATAGAATAGAATAGAATAGAATAGAATAGTTGGAAGGGACCTTGGAGGTCTTCTAGTCCAACCCCTGCTCAGGCAGGAAACCCTATACAATTTTGGACAAATGGTTGTCCAATCTTTGCTTAAAAACTTCCAGTGTTGGAGCATTCACAACTTCTGGAGGCAAGGAGTTCCACTGATTAATTGTTCTAACTGCAGTTGTTAAGTCAGTAACAAGTGGTTGTTATACAAAATCTGGTTTCCCCCTTGATTTTATTTGGTTGCAAAAGGGGATCACGTGACGCCGGGACACTGCAACCGTCATAAATATGAACCAAGCATCCAAATTTTGGTCAGGTGACCATAGGGATGTGGCAACAGTCATAAGGGTGCTGTTTTAACTTTGAACAGTCACCAAACGAACAGTTGTAAGTCAAGGGCCACCTGTACTTTGTGGAAGTGCAAATTGTTAGCATCTGAATTAATACTTAAGTTACGTGTGAGTTTGGGAAAGGAGGAAGGAATGGTCCAAATCACGAGTACCAGCAAAATAAGTCCAAAAAGTGAAGAGGGGTGGCCACATCTGAAGCATTGCCTGTAAAAACACTAGTGGAGTTGTGATTGTACAACCGCCATCTTGACTTTCAACCCTGACCATCAATTTTCCCGCCACAATGGGACATTTAACGTCGTTTGACTTTTGTTGACTTGACTCTTCTCCTTTTGTAGGCGAGCACATTTTTGTAGGATCCCAGCTGCAGGACCTGGCCGTTGGTCTAATCCTGCTTGCTCTCTCTTTGCTCGTTCTCTGCACTTGCTTGGTGTTGATCGTCAAGCTTCTGAACTCGGTCCTCAAAGGACAAGTCGCCAACGTGATCAAGAAAACACTCAATACAGGTAAGTGTTTCTCACTGTTTGTTTGCTTGGGTTTTTTCTTTTTCTTTTGGGTATCTAACTTTTATTAAAGTTTTAAACAAGGAGATAAAAATGAAATACAAGGGAATGTAAGGTAAGAAAGAAAAAAAAAGCAAAAGAAAAAAGCCAGGAGGAGGGCGGGGGGGGGGGAGAGAAGCAAAAAGTGCAAGACATGAAAACGAAAGTTGAACAAAAAATCGTAAAAACAAAAAGTGCAAAAATATTTTTTTGAAAAGACATTGAAAAGTGGCTTTTTCGTAGCAGTTATAAGGTCAAAAGTATTTCAGATTAGAATAGAACAGAACAGAACAGAACAGAACAGAACAGAATAGAATAGAATAGAGAATAGAATATAGAATAGAAAATAGAAGAGAATAGAATAGAGAATAGAATATAGAATATAGAATAGAAAATAGAATAGAATAGAATAGAATAGAATAGAATAGAATAGAATAGAATAGAATAGAAAATAGAATAGAAAAAGAAGAGAGAAGAGAAGAGAAGAGAAAAGAGAAGAGAAAAGAGAAGAGACGAGAAGAGAGAATAGAATAAAATAGAAAATAGAAGAGAAGAGAAGAGAAGAGAGAATAGAATAGAATAGAAAAAGAAGAATAGAATAGAATAGAATAGAAAATAGAATAAAAAAGAAGAGAGAATAGAATAGAATAGAAAATAGAAGAGAAGAGAGAATAGAGGAGAAGAGAAAATAGAATAGAATAGAATAGAATAGAATAGAATAGAATAGAATAGAATAGAATAGAATAGAATAGAATAGAATATTCTCCAAAGGGCCAGAAGGCAGGACAAGAAGCAACAGAGGGAAACTAACCAAGGAGAGAAGCAACCTAGAACTAAGGAGAAATTTCCTGACAGTGAGGACGATTAACCAGTGGAACTACTTGCCTCCAGAAGTTGTAGGTGCTCCGACACTGGAGGGTTTTAAGAAGAGGTTGTCTGAAATGGTAGAGGGCTTCCTGCGTGAGCAGGGGGTTGGACTAGAAGGCCTCCAAGGTCCCTTCCAGCTCTGTTATTCTGTTACAATATTTAAGACAAAGGATTAGGTAGAACAGAACGTGCGGCATAAACCTGGCATCTCTTATGTTTCCGTTTTCCAGATTTTCCGTTTCCATTTTCTTGGGTAACCGGTTATTTGGCTATGCTCGTAGGAGCTGGTATGACCTTCATCGTCCAAAGCAGTTCAGTCTTCACCTCTGCTATTACTCCACTTGTTGGTAAGAGAGTTTTATGTATGTACGTGACACAACAGGCCTTTTTGTTATTATATTTTGTTTGTGTGTGCATTTAAACAAAGTAGAATCCGCCGATGTTTCATTTGCTGGATTAATCTGCAGCAGGGTAGCTGCTGCATTATATACCACAGTAGAGACAGTCCTCGTCTTACAACAGCTCATTTAGTGACCGTTCAAAGTTACAACGCCCTGAAAAAAGGGACTTACAACCAATTTTCACACTTACGACCGTCACAGCCTCCCCATGATCACGTGATTTACATGCAGACGCTTGAGCACTGACTCAAATTTATGATCATTCTGCTGACAGTTGGCAGAATCAGCCTGCAGTGCTGCATTCCAACCACTGCGCCACCACAGCTACTATCTACCGCCAATTTGCTTTGACCGTTAGTAGCTCAGATTTTTGTAGAGAGCTTAAGCTTGCCGTTAACCTTTATATCAGTTTGAACTGCCTGGGATTTCCGGATTTCCCCACAGCTTGAAAGCAAGGATCCTACTGTGATTCAGAATTGTGGACTCTGGGAAAGCCACTCGCTCAAAACAAATTGATGCAGATGAAACATTTTGAAGTCTATAGCGTTGTATATCATTACAATGAAATGACGCAATTCCTCCTCTTTTCTTCCCATCAGGAATTGGGGTTATAAGTATAGAACGGGCCTACCCCCTAACCTTGGGATCAAATATCGGGACAACGACAACAGCCATCCTAGCTGCAATGGCCAGCCCTGGAAACCGGCTGAAATATTCCTTACAGGTGAGCATTTTTTGGTATTTGAAAACCTCTTTTGTTGACAGAACACACGATTCAACTAAAATGACTCCCATCTCTCTTGGGTTTTTAACGTTGTTTTCACCACAACCTTTTCCTTTTAGGTCCAAAAAGGGGCATCCTTAGTTTGTTACTGTTACTTCAAACCAAGGATTTAAACTGGTTCAGAAAAGAAGCAGAAACTCTGGATGGCTACTTTTAGCTACCTAGCCCAAAATGCAGTTTGTAGTAACTGGGATTAAGTGGATCTGGGGTTAGGATCAGAAGAGAGAGAAAAGCACAACATTGCAACTTTATTGCAGTGGCTTGCAGTGTTTTGTAATACCTACCCTTAGTTATAGTTGTTATTAAGAGTTGGCGTCATCTGTTTATTGAAGAGAAGGACGAGGGGTGACATGATAGCAGTGCTCAAATATCTCAGGGGTTGCCATAAAGAAGAGGGAGTCAAGCTATTCTCCAAAGCACCTGAAGGCAGGACAAGAAGCAACGGAGGGAAACTCTTCAAGGAGAGAAACAACCTGGAACTAAGGAGAAATTTCCTGACAGTTAGAACAATTAATCAGTGGAACAACCTGCCTCCAGAAGTTGTGGGTGCTCCAACACTAAAAGTTTTTAAGAAGAGATTTTGACTGAAATCTCCCTTTATAAAGCTACTATCTGTTGGTTTCTTGCCCTCCCCATAGACCAGTGGTGGTGAACCTATGGCACGGGTGCCAGGGGCGGCACTCAGAGTCCTCTCTGTGGGCATGCGTGCCGTTGCCCCAGTCCTAGGCCTTCAGCTGGGTTTTATAAAACCTTTTCACTTTAGGCCTCCGCCGCCGTGTGCAAAAAAAAAAGGTTCAATCAATCAATCAATTTCAACTTCTCGCGGGGAAAAAAAAAGAATCTTGCAAAGTTGGAATTGATTGATTGAACTTTTTAGTCCCACCCAGTCTGCTGTTACCACCGCAGCCACGCCCAGCCAATAGGCCACACCCACCCAATGGGCCACACTCATCCGGCACCCGATGATGCATAAGTGGGTTTTGGGTTGCAGTTTGGGCACTCGGTCTCTAAAAGTTTCACCATCACTGCCGTAGACACTATGGAGAATATATCCACCTTCTGTTTCCTGTGAAGTCCTTCAGAGTTGGAAAGATAGCTATCATCTCTCCCGTTAGCCTTCTCTTCTTTGACAGATGATCCTTTTCCAGTTTTAGTTCAGATGGAAGCCAACCTCGACCATTTTGTTCTGAATTCGGATTCGATTTCAAAGCAAAGAAGCACTCACGTCTCTAATGCAGAGGACAAAAATGTACCTATCCGATTCATGAAGTTAAACTCACAAAAACGATCACGGTCAGATCAAGAACACTGTAGAGACGAGATCTAAACTCTTTCCCTGTGTTTAAATGCTCTTGTTGCCAATCATCCAGCTAGCGAATTCAACATTGAGGAAACTTTGAAGTGCCCTAAAAGATAAATTTTATTGAATACACATCAGGGTACTGAAGAAGCAAAACCAACCCTGTCTTTCCCACGTGAAAATCTGGTTAGTTAACAATAGCTTTCCATAACCGCCCACCCACCAAGTGTTCACGTTGCCCAATGATGCCTCTTTAGTTTATTATGGGAAAGGTCCACTTCTCCGTCAGACATCTGCTTTTCTGACCTTGGCTCTCGTGGTCCATGGACAACATCTTAAAAAACTCTCGTTTCTTTTCCAGGTTTCCCTTTCCCCCTGTTTCTATGGCAAGCTGAGTAGCGACAGAAGTTAGTAAGCATCTTAGAAATTCAACCTTGACACTTGCCATCTTTTTCAAAGCGGTCATATTAACTGGATATTTTAGGGGGAAAGGGGGGCCTTAAAACATGCTGGTTCTTGATACTTATGTAGCCTAAGTATACCCCATGTGAAGCCATCAACCATCAGGTTTTACCGGTTTTTAACAGCCACGTGAGCTGTCTAAGGATTTTCTCTGGCATGGCTCCTATTCCTTTGAACCGGGAGTTGTGTAGCAGGGAACCGGGTTGTTTATACAACCTGGGAGGTCTCAATAAGCCAGGTAATAGGAGAGGTTTTAGTGTCAGAAAAGAAAACAAGGGATAATTGTAGGGTATGTACGTGTGGTGCATTGTCTCGGTGTTCCTCTGACGTCTCCTTTGAACTGTGTTTGTTTCCAGATTGCTTTGTGCCATTTCTTTTTCAATATCTCCGGGATTATCCTCTGGTACCCGATACCTTTTATGCGCATCCCCATCCGCTTGTCAAAAGCCTTGGGGAACATCACCGCCAAGTACCGATGGTTCGCCATTTTCTACCTCCTCTCCTGCTTCTTCTTGATCCCTTTGGCCGTGTTTGGCCTCTCGGTGGCTGGTTGGCCCTACCTGGTGGCTGTGGCCGTCCCCATCTTTGCGGCCTTGATCTTCGTGCTCACCGTCCACCTTCTGCAGAAGAAGAAGCCACACCTGCTCCCCGAGAAGCTTCGGAATTGGGACTTCCTTCCTCGGTGGATGCACTCCTTGCGGCCCTGGGATGACGTCATCACCGCCGCAAGCGTCGCCTGTGGCAGATATTGCTGCTGCTGTTGCAAACGTTGTCGGAACAAGGCGGGTGAGCCAAGCGAAGAAGCCAAGCAAACGAAAGCGATGGAAGTTCACGAGAATCCTGTATCGCTGGCCGATGAAGAGAACTGCCTTTCCAAGGCCTCAAAAGCAGAGCAAGCGGTCCCGAGCACCACTGCCTTGTAGCAGAAAGGGAGATGTTGAGAGTGGAGGTCCAAGGACAGAATGCTGGGGATCTGCGTAGAGGGAAAACAGGGAACGTGTCCCAGTGACTTGAACTCCGTGAGAAGACTGAACTAGTGATGGGTAACGGTGGTTGTCAGGACCCCTTAAGTCATGTCTAAATCACAAGATGCCCATTCAAAATATCAGTAAGGTCAAGGCCTTACCTCACATCTACTCAAGCCAGGGAACAAGTGAAGTCCTGTACTTTTTCTCCAAGATAAGGAAGGCCTGTGGGCAGGTACGCCACTTGTGTTTTAGAGATGTGTGGGCAAACACTGCCCACCACTGCTAAAACTCTCTCATTTGTAGTCCTGTAGAAGCCCAACGTACTCCAAGTTCTTCATCGTCATCAGACCCACAAGTAGGACATCTAGCCATGTGTCATGTCATATCTCAGTTGGATCAGGATTTCAGCAAGAGCTTTAAAGCCGCGTTTCCTTCGAGCGTTCAGGCATATGCCATTGTTAAAACGAAAATGTAATATAGTGTGTTCCACACCGATCTCTTCAACCATACGAATCTTCTAAAACCTTTCAGACGGGCTGGTTGAGGTGTGTGTTCAAGAAATTATCTATCTATCTATATTTTAGTACTGTAGGTTCTGTGGTTTGTGCAATTTATGAAATTTCTAGAGCACTTGTCTTTTACGGGCCTAAATTATTCGAAGGCTGAATTTAGAGAACAATTGTTGGAGAATTTAGCTGCTATATCTCTGTATGATATGCAGGAACGCCGTTTCTGGTTTACAGACACAGGATAGAGAGAAAGAAGAGGGTACACGGGAGGGGGGGCATTCACAGGTTTTCTCCTCCTGGCTAGATTAAATTATGGGGGGAAAAATGTGTTTTAAGGAAGTGAATTGCCCTAAAAATATTACCTCATGTTCCAGACGCATTAACTCATGGAATGTCCCAAAACCGGGTGAGATAAACCCTTATTGCTCTTGCATACAACCTTTTTTACCTCTGTTGTCGGGTGCGAGGGTGTCTGATTGTGTGTGCACTGCTCTGTAAATGGGTCTAGGACAGCTCGCCACAGCCAGCTGCCATGGCACAACTCATCGTGGGACAAGAGTTACAGTAATATGGAAGAAATGGTGGAAGAGAATCCTTAAAGTAAGGATGCCAAAGGACGGACAAAATTTGAATGGCAAAAAATGTAAATTATTTTAAATAATTAAATTGAATTGAATCCCAAGGCAAGTTGGCCACGGCCACTTGGCCACGGCGAGTTGTCCTATTCCACTGTAAACAATAGTTTGTTGACAAGCAGCGGTATACAAACCAGCCTTCAAGATCAATGAAGAGAAACTCTTTTAACTAGGGGTTCTTTAGATCTTAGGAACAAATTTACGTAGACGACGTTGCAGTTCATAACTTTTGCTGGCATGTGGGGGGAAAAAAACTCATTTCAAGCCACTGAGAAGTCAACCAGGATGGAACCTGGTTACCAAGATTATTGTAAGCCCCTGCTGTGGAGAAAAAAAATTAGCCTTTTGCTTCAAGGTAAAATATTAGGTCAGCAAGATCAAACAGAGAATTAATTCATATCTTGAGATGTGCTGTGCTCTATTACAGTTTAATGCCCCTTGCGTTCTGCTTGGTAACCTAAATCCAATTATTATCGTCCTGTTTATTACCTCGTGGGCTGATATTCTGGCAGCTGATATGACAATCCATCCATTTTCCTCATGATGCCCTTTATTGCAAAACTTTATTCTACATTTCTTGGAATGTACTATTATAAAGAATTTTATCTAGATATAGATATAGAATTAAACGTGAATCACTCTTATCAGAATCCCTGAGACTTAAAAGGGCTCAGCGACGAAGAATGGATTGTGCTGTTTTTTTAAAAAAAAAAATAAATTGCAAAGAGATTATCTCGGATAGGAATTCAGGCTGGAAGTCCATATAATGACCTTAGTATATGCTGGCTAAAAATATCAAAAAGAGTAGAAGGCAAATTCAGCTTTTTTAAAAAAAACAACAAAAAACAAAAAACGGATAGTTTACAGTGGAGAAATTGTCTGGGTCTTCCATTTATTGCTCCTGATTATCAGTGAAATTTAGAAGTGCTTATATATGCATTTCTTGGAAAGCAAATGAAGAGATCAAGCACTCCAATCTCATGCAGGTTTACTCAAAAGTAAATTACCTGTGCTTCACCCAAAAGGCCTTTTAATGGAAAAGTAATTTTGATGTATTTGTACTAGAAAGAGGCCACTTTTTTTTTTTTTTACAAATACTTGGATCTGCAGGGCTCCAAGTGCTTTTAAGAAAGTTACAGATTTAATCAACTTAGCAAAGATAGAAAACATGTGTAGCCTGGGTGGAAGATGGTGGTGATGGTTGATTCTCCAAGTTTGCTGTTTAGCTTCCCAACGTTTTGTCACCAGCTGGGTGACATCCTTCTGCTTCAGTTCTTCTCCACTTTTATTGATCTCATGTGGTCAATGGGTCCTGTGACCGACTCTCCATGACTTGTTACATGCCATGTGACCGGCTGGTGATGTTCATGTGAAGGTCACCAGGTGAGATCAATAAAAGAGAAGGAGGAGAAGGAGGAGGAGGAGGAGGAGAAGAAGAAGAAGAAGAAGAAGAAGAAGAAGAAGAAGAAGAAGAAGAAGAAGAAGAAGAAGAAGAAGAAGAAGAAGAAGAAGAAGAAGAAGAAGAAGAAGAGGAGGAGGAGGAGGAGGAGGAGGAGGAGGAGGAAGAGGAAGAGGAAGAGGAAGAGGAAGAGGAAGAGGAAGAGGAAGAGGAAGAAAAGGAAGCTTTTTCTGACACATTCAGAAGCTAAACAACCAGCCTAAAATGAAACCATCACCAACATTTGATCAGCTTTATGCAGAAATTGATTAATTACGATGCAATAGCATAGAAATGAAGTTTCTATGCAATTAATAATAATTGGCACCTGGCAGAAACAGCAGGACACAGCCAAAATAAAGCACTTAATAAACCAGGGGTCCAGAGGGGAGGGAAAGTCAGGAAAATCAAAATGGTGGCTGCAGCTATGCAATTAACCCGCCCGTTTTTGAGGGGACCTTTACCCAGTCTTTCTTCTCACGTTGTTTATGATAATGTTCTTATGTTGTTTGTTTGGGGGGGGCAGAAAATGTCTTCACATTCAATCATTAATATTAGCAGAAGGGTTTGCTCAGATTTGTGAAGCAGAATGCTACACCAATTCCGTAGACTTTCTGTCTTCTCAAAAACTTGGAGAAGAAGAACAGACGAATGCCTTTGTATTCCACCCCTGCTTTCTGCTTGGTCGACTCCGATGCTGTAACTCAATCTACCTCTTGTTCCCTTCGGTGGAATCGTGGTTTAGAGGGAAAGTGGGAACTCTTTCCAAGCAAAAGAAAGTTGGATTTCCAAGGGCCAACATGGCGAGTGGTTAAGGATTAGAGCAGCTGAAGTCAACTGACGGGGTTGAAGAACTAGCGGACACGTTCACAAAAGTTGAGAAGTAGAACATGTTTTCGGGCTGATTTAATATTATTTTATGTAGAACCAGGGGGATGCATAAGAAGGGGAGTAAATTGGACAAGACTGGGATTAGGAAAGAGAAAAGAATATACAACACACTTAATGTTTATACATACAGATATTATATTACTCTCTGCTTTATGAACCCAATATTTAAGCTCCCCCCGAGCTACTTTATTCGAGGGATGAATCAAACTGCATTTGGTACAATGTCCCCTTAATTCACCCATTTCATGCTGGATGGATAATGGTTGTGTTTTTCAGTCCCTAGGTAGAGAAATATGCGTAGTAAGGATTGGACATAAACGTAACCAAGAATGTGTTTTTGTCTTCATAACTTAATCTGGTGATTAGAAACCGACTTTTCATTCCTAAAGTGGAAGAAAGGCTGGCAAACTGAATCAGCAGGGAAACAAAATATTCATTTTGAACAGGGAAGATAGGTAAAGGAAGCCAAGTCCCACCACTGCTGCCATCTCCACCAGTTTTGTAGAACACTACATTTATGACTGCCATCCCACCACCTGCCAGTGGCATCTGCGTCACAATTATGGAATTAATTTAATGGATTCTATACGGCTGCCCGCTCCCAAAGACATGTGACAGGAGCAGGTGAGGCAACTAGCCGTTGATGTTAGCCACTGATGAATCTTCATCACCATGTTTAGTTCAACATCTTTAGTCAGCTGATTGCACAGTTAAACACCTGTTTTACAACCACCCAATGAACGTAGCCCGCTTTAACCCCAAAACAGCAGCAAACTGTTTAGCCAAGTTCTCACCAGGGTCATTAGGTTTTGATATGCGGGTGAAATTTGAA